ATGCCAAAGCATTATTTACCCGGGTACTCCCCTCCCTACCCGGGTAAATAATTCAAACATTTTTTCAGATTCAAGAAATATACTCGGGTAGGGAAAGGTGTACCCGGGTAGGTAAAAAATTTCAAAATATACCCGGGTAGGTAGGGGTGTACCCGGGTAGGCTTCATGGTTAACGGTCAAACATGGGCAGATTGGTGTTATATTTTCTGGAGAGGTTAAATTTTTGAAATAGTTTATAAATAGGGTCAATTTGGTAATTAATTATTAAAAAAAGGTTATAGTGGTCAAAAAGCCAAATTCCATTGAAAACTTTCCACGGATATAAATTCCGTCGAAATTTTTCCACGGAAATAAATTTCGTCGAAATTTTTCTACGGAAATAAATTCCGTCGAAATTTCTGTCAAAAATTTTCGACAGAATCTTTAATTCCGTCAAAAAATGGGTTATCAACGAAGGAAAATTCGACGACTTGAATTTCGTCGAAAACTTCATTTTTGACAGAATTTATACCATTTTTGACGGAATTTTTCCGTAAAAAAATGGACTTTTTTAGTAGTAATCATCAAGGATAGTAGGAATGAGCAATAAATATGTTTGATTCAAGGAGAACAATCAATAATAACTTTTTGATCAATGAACCAGTGATTGGTTATGTTGAAATTTGTAATTCATGAGTATAAATTTGGTGGGAAATATAGCCCTTTCCCCATTTACAGTCGTTATTTTTATTTTCTTGTGCAAGGGCAATGGATCTCACGTGCTTAGGGAATCAATTCCTAACTCTGTTAAAAGGTTGGAATTCGGCCAAAAATATTTTTTCTTGATTCAAATGGATTCCAAGCGTTTGATAAACACTTGCAAACTTGTTTTCAAGAATGTGAAATGTTTAAAATATCTTTTGAGAGAATTCAACACCGTATTACTTGGATAATTAATGTATCAGTGGAGAAACAAAAAAGAACATAAAAAATCGTAAGGTTATGATCCTCAAGACATCAAATCAAATGCTAGTTTTCCTGGTTCTTGATCTAGAGAGAACAATCTTTCAAGAATATGATGATAATTGGACTGAGGAATACCAAAATCTCAAGACATCAATTTTTTTTTTTAATCTCCGAAAAAAATAAAGATCAAGTTGTTAAATGAAGACAAGTACGCTTTTTCATTGGTTCATGTTCGTTGATAATCCCTATGATAAATCTTGAAAAAGGTTATAGTTTTCACCATAAAATTTAATGGGTTGACTTTTTCTACAGTTAATGCAGATAAGTTATCTGCAATAAGCTCAATACGATGTTATTTTGGGAGGAAATCATGATATTTTTATAATTTTAATTTATTTCAGAGTTATTATAGTCTTTATAATTATAATTTTCTAATCTTTCAATCCCAAAAAATATTTTTCTGAAATTTAATACCTAAATTCTGTCATTTAGTTCTTCCAAAACAATTATTCACAATATGGCTTTAATTTTTCTACAGTGAATGTAGATAAGTTATCTACATTTGCTCCCAAAACAACGTCGTTTTGGGTTGAAAAATTAAAAAAAAAATATAATGAAAAAGACTATTATAACTATGAAATAAAAAATACCTTGATTTCCGCCTCAAAACGACGTCAAGTGTCATAAATTGCTCTATTTAGTAGACATAAATGGTTAAAACTAATGTTGTTAAAATCGGACCGGCCGATTTTGGAAAAACCATTTCCAAAGTTGCAGCCGCCACCGGGATTTGAACTCAAGTATCATAAGGATGCGAAACAACCACTTACCATTGGGTTACATTTGCTTGTTAGTAAATATGTATCATTTAATATATCTATCATATCATTTAATAGAATTTTTTCAAAATGGCATCTAGTGAGGATCGAACCCTTGTTATGAAGTTATAAATCATAGTATTTACCACTAGGCTACATTTGACTCTTGATTTAGCTGCACCATTTAAAATATTTATTATATAATTAAGTATAAAATATAAATATATATATATATATATATATATATATATATATATATATATATATATATATATATTCGATTCATGCTGTTAAATTAGTGACCCACTGACCCGGTACCTAGGGGTGCTAAACGAACCAAGGGCCTTTTAGGGGCTTTAGGCTCGACTCGTGAAGGTTTGGGCTTACATGTCTAAAATTGGTTGTTGAAACCAGACTTGAACTTGTATAAAAGCTCGTTTAATAAAAAAGCCTCAGGCTCTAATTCAAAAGCTCAACCTCAAAGCCTTCCAAGCTGGCCTAGTATACTAACTTTTATTTTTATTTTATATTTTTTATACTATTCATGATATATCTCTCTCCTCAACCCATTTCACCTCATTTTATTGGTTAAACAATTTTTTTGAATGTTTTTGTTCTATATTATGCTTTTTAGATATACATTGAATTTATGAATCTTTGTGAAGTTATTAGTGTTGTTGATCATATATTTTGTTTGAATAAATTTTTGTTGTCTTATTTTTTTAAACAGGCTAAATCAGACTTTTATATTTTATAAATAGTACAGGCCACAGGCCGATAATTATATTCATAACAGGTATCAGGCTGACACATTTAAACACAGGCTTAACCTTTTAAGATCAAAGTCCGGCTCAGCTCATTCCGTTAACACCCCTACCGATACCCCAACTGAGTCGATGACGGGTCCAGATTTTATAACATTGGTTAAAACGGTTCTGAGATACTTAACTTCGTAATTATAAAAATAGAACAAAACATACATTGATAGAGAGATAAAGTGCAGTTACAAGATAACACATTAAAATCGAATAAAATCATAGGATGGAAAAATAAATTTAACCCTAATTTTGATGAAGTATGATAATAAAATCTGATTATTCAAGAATAGTGTTTAATATTTTTTTATTTTATTTTTTGGTAAAAAGTGTTTAATATTTTTTTAACTATGTTATTATAAATCTGTAAAAATCATAAAAAGAAAATTTATTATAATGATTATATCCTATTCACCAATCAATGTGGCTTGAGACATCAAAACTTGTTAATGACCATTATATGTAGCTGTAATTAGTAATTTTACTATCATTCCCAGCTGTTAGTGTACCCCTTTTATTTAAAAATTTGTATTTACATATCGAATTTTATGGAATGTTCCTAAACCCTCACTTAAAAAAAAACATACACATACTTTCTTATTTTATACATAAATATTACACAAAAATCCTCTTGTAAATAATAAAATAATTTAGGTGTACTTTTTTTTTGGAATAATATTGACTCAATAAAGAGATTTAGTATAGACGTTACCCCTAATGATAAAGATTGAATAATTTGAATGAGGTTACACCCTTATAGGTTTAACCTTATATATTGATGTTAATTAGCCCCTATATATCAAAGGAAGAATCAGGTTTAGAAACGGTAGCAGCTTAAAGAGGCTAGTAAATAAGCGTATTATTGACTACGTCTTTAATGCATCCTTAAGCTATCTGTGGATATCAACATTAAATAATAGAAACAAATACTATATAAGCAGAAAAGGACCCACCACTGACTGCGTAGAGGGAGAATCTTATTCAATTTTTATCAAATACATATTCAGAGAGGAAGAAGAATTCTAACCAATGTTATTAAAATCGGCTAGGTCATTGATTCGGTTGAGGTAACGAGTTATTGGGTCACTGGTTCAACCGCATGACCCGGTAATTATATGCAATTTTATAATTTATATTAAAAAATTATAAACATACTCAAATATTTAAAAAAAATGATAAAATTTTCAAATATTTTAATACAAAAAATAATAAATCACAGATTATTATCAAACAAAAAATCAAACAAAAATATAATGATCGTGATACGGAGCTTTAGGTTCAGAAAACGACATCTCTAACTATAAATAATTCAAAATTGTATACATAGTACATAATTGAGATAATATTGGTGTTGTAGGTACATAACTTTTGTAAGTTAATAAGCAAAAAAATATTTAAATATGGCTATTATAATTTTTTTTGAAAAAAACAAAAATTTGGAATTTTTTTTTGAACCGGGTCGGGTCACCGGTTAACCGATCGGGTCACTGGTTTTTATGAAAACCGGCCGGGTTGGACCGGATCGCACTGATTCTGATGCATGCAGGTTCGTTGCTTCAACCGGACCAGTTATATGACCGGTTTACCAGTTCCCGAGTCGACTCGGCCGGATCGGTCTGATTTTAATAACTATGATTCTAACTGTAACTAAATCTCGATTCGAGATTAATCTCTAACCGATTCAAAAAGTTGAAGCTGAATTAAGCTCAAAGAAATAATTATGAAATAACACACATAAAATTGGGAAAATATATAGGCAGAACTTATTCGCCTAAGCTTTCGGTGGCATATTCCTTTTCCTATTCCTATTGGAATTGCTTCGTTTGTTTTAGATTTTTAACAGAGTTTGACCAAAATATTAAAAAAATGTAAAATTGTAGAGCATCTTCCCAGTGCTCGAGATTAAAATCGGCTTAATAAAAAAACAAAATTGTTAATAGTCAAATGTGGCCGGCAAGTATGTGATTATTAAGGGTTGGGCCATGCGCATGGATATAGATAGCTGATTTTCCAACCAAATAATTAGAGGTCACAGTCAAACCAAAAAAAAAAAATTAGAAAATAAATAAATAAATAAAATTAAAGGAGCAGTGTAAAGAAATTCTCCATCATCGTTCGCCCACCCACTGTAAGCATCTCTTTTATCCTTTCATAGGACAAACAAACGATGTTATTCCCTATGATTTTAGCAATGTTATTTAGACGTTCTCATTTACATGTTAACATCTCATGTTGATGTAACCGGTTATATATGTAACATATAGGAGACACAACCTCTTGCAAAACCAAATTAGTGCTACGTAAAAATGATAGAATTCAACATGATTAGGAATGTAAGATTGGTTATTGCTTTCAATTGTTACTTGTAAAGCCATTGCATATAGTAATTTCTCAGTGCCACTTCAAATTGATAACAGCAACAATGGAAGCTGATCATGATGCACTGGTGAAGGGAGACAAACTCATACTGAGGGGATTGATGTTTCATGGTTTTCATGGTGTAATCCCAGAAGAAAGGAAGCTGGGTCAGAAATTTTTGGTAGACTTAGATGCTTGGGTGGATCTCAGAGCAGCTGGTAAATCTGATATCTTGTCAGATACAGTTAGTTACACTGAAATATACAGGTGAGTCAGCAATATCCATTTATGTAATTTCATCATCCTTATCAGCATGTATTAGGAGTGAAAGAAGATAAGCCTTATCCCAGGAGTTATTGGTCTAATAGCAAAAGAGCTAGATCCCATGATTTGACCTACCCAAATATAGCCGGTTCGAATCATGAGAGCTGCAAGATCCCATGATTTGACCTACCCAAATGTAGTGGGCTCGAATCATGAGAGCTGCGATTTCTGTAGAAAGTGAAGAGGTTCAAACTCAAAATCGAATTAATCGGGTCCCTTAAGACTTCCAAATATCATATTATTTATTATAGACTCGCACAATAAGTTTAACCCTTCAATACACCCTGCACATAGGACAAGCTTTAGAGGACCAAATTGCCCTTTTCTTAAGAGAGAGAGAATTTTAAAATATGTCCAAATGAATAATCTTCTATGTGCTCCTTATTTTCCATAAGTAATTAGGTAACTATGATCTGATTAATGTATGAAGTATCCGTGAATGCAGTATAGTTGAAGAAGTTCTTGAAGGGTCACCGCACAATCTCCTGGAGTCAGTGGCTGAACAAATTGCAACCTCTACTCTAACCAAGCACCACCAGATTTCTGCTGTTCGTGTGAAAGTTGGAAAGCCTCATGTAGCAGTTCGGGGTCCAGTTGATTATTTAGGCGTTGAGATTCTTAGACACAGAAGTGATGTGGCAAATTAAAACTTTTAAGATTTACTGCTATATGTTTTGTATGTCTTGAAGTTCCATTTAACACACAACTTTACAATCTTTCTCTCCTTCATAGATAACTTTACATTTCATTATTTTAAACTAAAAGAAATTTAGTTTTCAAATTTATCTCTACTCATCAATATCTACAAAGAATAACTCCTCTAGCTTCAAACATGTTGGGGGTTCTTGTGAACACATGGAAGTTATGGCTTGCTTTGCATGCAGTTTAAGAGAATTTAAGAAACCTGCCTTCAGATGAACTAGCCCGAGGTTCACCAATCATTCTGAACGAAGCTTTCTCAATAACCATTTCTTCCTTAAATTAGCATCCAATGCCAGAAACATCCTTGCTCTTTTCTCATCTTCCAAAAAATCACAGGCATCTAATATTAGATCATCATCCAGGTCTGGTATAGCCTGAAGCTCCCTGATAACATTATCTACGGAAAAATTATCTTCTTTCTTTGTTTTCTTGCTTAGTGATGTAACTGCAACTTCCATATGTTTCAGAGCAACTGCCATGCCCTCATCATAGTTTCTTGCCTTCTTAGACTCATTCAAGGTTGGGGGCATTTTAGGTTGTTGCCTTTTTTGGTGACCAGAAACATTTTTTCCAACACGTAAAACAAATGCTTCATTATCTGCATTAGGGAGAGCCTGAGTTTCTTTATCTGTATTAGGGAGTGGCATGGTGTCTCTGGTAAAATTATTTTTACCACCTACATGCAATGCTCCTTTGTCTGCATTAGGGAGGGGCTGAGTATATGGGATAGAGTACTTTCTCTCAGAAGATCCCTTTTCAAGATTTGACTTGCAACTAACAGAAGCTTCATCGCGACATATTATGCACATGCTAGAATAAAAAGGCATGCTTTTAATTCTATATAGCCTGAAGTTGTGATGCACCTGCAATTATGAGTAGGTGATGGTAGTAGAAAATAAAAATACTCAAAAAGAAAAATAAAAATGACCAAGAATACTTCATACCCTGATGCAGTTTTGCCAAACTTGGTCATCAGCCACAACCTTCTGTTGTGTCTTATCCCAACTAAAACCTTCTTTGCCAAGGAGGACATTAATAGAACAGTAATGCCTCCTCAGGACATTGAGACGGTTTTTTAAGACAACCTTACTGTAATGACATCCAAATCTATCATTAAATTTATCTGTCATGTTTGTCCATGCTTTCTTCTTGAATGTATGGCCAATCTTGTTCCCTTTACACACCTGGTCCAGCATCAGTTCAACAAAAAATTGGTCCATCATTGGAGACCAGTCTATTTTACTGTGATTAATAACAGTGGGGGGAGTATGATCATCCACTCCTTTACTGGTGGTAGTCTTGTCATCCATTTCTTTTGAAGCAATTTCAGAGTAAAAATAAAATTAGTTCAAACATAATGAAACATAACTACAGTAAATGAATAAATTTGGTGAAGAAAATTAAATGGAATTTTCTTTCAAGCTTCAAACAATAACATTTAATGATCAATGCATTTGTTTCTACCTTCACGCTCAAAATCTACATCAAAACATGAAAGGCTGTATCTCCCATCAGCAACTGCATGGCCATAAATTATGCACAGATCATTATAATATGGAATAACTTTTGTTCTGAGAGCTTGGGCTTCAGGGTGGGCCTGCATGCAGAAAAGCACGCTAATTGCAATGCAAAGATTCATTAGTGCTTTTGAGATATTTGAAGATAAATTTGTACCTTAATATACTCATCCCACGTTTTATCATCAGCTATGATCATGTATAGTGTCCCATCCCACTGGAATCCATTTTGACTAACAATCATTTTCATCTCATTGTATTGCTTCCTGAATCGTTTGTAACGGTTCTTCAACACATCTACATCATACTTGAACCCAAATTTGGAGTTAAATTGTTCAGTCATGTCTGCCCAAGTTTTTCTGCCAAATGCTTTGCCAGTTTTATTCCCTTTGTGAACATGGGACAACAAAAGCTCAAGAAAATATTGGTCTTGAGTTGGAGTCCAATTAGCCCTCAAGCTGTCCAAACTAATAGAAGAATCATCCCCCATTTCAGTACCTGTAATTCAAATGGATTAGTATCAGTTAAATGTAAAAGAATACGTGGTGTATTGATCTGTGTCAGGGAGTTACAATATATAGAGACTCTAATGGGCTTAAGTGTAAGGCCCAAACCTAATCCTAATACAGTCAGAATACAATCAGACTATTTACGGATAAGACAGAATCCAATCATATCTAATCATATCATATCTAATATTCTAACACTCCCCCTCAAGCTGGTGCGTATATATTATGACCACCAAGCTTGTTACAAATGTATTCAACCCGAGGACCTCTAAGAGCTTTAGTGAAAACATCTGCTAGTTGATTAGACGAGTTGACAAAAGCTGTCTTGATTTCTCCTGACTGAATCTTTTTCCGAATGAAGTGACAATCAATCTCTATATGTTTGGTCCTCTCATGAAAAACAGGATTAGAGGATATATGTAGCGCAACTTGATTATCACAGATGAGTGTCATGGGTTGTTTCTGTTCACAAAGATGAAGCTCTTGAATCAACTGCTTTAACCAGATCAACTCACAGGTAGTATTTGCCATTGCACGATACTCAGCTTCTGCACTAGATCGGGAAACAACAGGTTGTTTCTTGCTTTTCCATGAGATTAAGTTTCCTCCGAAGAAGACACAATAACCAGAAGTAAAGCGTCTGTCCGAAGGTGATCCTGCCCAATCGGCATCTGAGTAACCACAAATTTCTGTATTTCCCTGATCCGAATACAACAAACCTTTTTCCTGGTGCTCCTTTGATGTATCGGAGGATCCTCACAGCAGCATCCCAATGTGAATCACAAGGGGAATCAAGGAACTGACTAGCCGTACTGACAGCGAAAGAAATATCTGGCCTAGTCACAGTAAGATAATTGAGCTTCCCAATCAGCCTTTGATAACGTCCAGGATCAGACCCCTTGTCTTGGAAAAAACTTAACATTAGGATCCATGGGTGTATCAACTGGTTTACACCCCAACATACCAGTCTCTTCTAGGATATCCAAGGCATACTTCCTTTGACAGATAGAAATGCCCTGTCTAGATTGCGCCACCTCAATTCCCAAGAAGTAACGCAGCTTTCCAAGGTCCTTTGTTTGAAATGCACTGAATAAATGTTGTTTTAACTGACGGATTCCGTCTTGATCACTTCCGGTGATGATGATGTCATCAACATAGACTAACAAATAGATGCACTTGTTAGGAGATGTAATCCTATAGAATACAAAATGGTCAACTTTACTGCGAATTAGGCCAAACGCCTGTACAGCAGAACTAAAGCGACTGAACCATGCTCGAGGAGACTGCTTGAGACCATATAAGGATTTTCGAAGACGACATACCTTCCCAGACTCCCCCTGAGCAACAAAACCAGGTGGTTGCTCCATGTAAACTTCTTCTTGTAAATCACCATGAAGAAAGGCATTTTTGATGTCAAGTTGAAGGAGTGGCCAGTGACGAACAGCAGCAAGGGCAAGAAATAGGGGGACGGACGCCATCTTAGCGACTGGAGAGAATGTATCGCTATAATCAAGACCAAATATTTGAGTAAAACCCTTGGCAACTAGGCGTGCCTTGAGACGATCAACATGGCCATCAGGTCCAACTTTCACAGTAAACACCCAGCGACAACCAACTATAGACTTATCTGGAGGAGCAGAAACAAGGTCCCAAGTGCCATTGGTATGAAGTGCGGTCATCTCATCAAGCATCGCTTGGCGCCATCCTGGATGGCAAAGTGCTTCACCTGTGGTCTTAGGAATAGAAACAGAAGAAAGACTAGAAACAAAGGTGAAATGAGGAAGAGAAAGACGATCATAGCTCAAGAAGGTATAAAGAGGATAAGGGTTACGAGTAGTACGTGTACCTTTTCTTTGAGCAATGGGAAGAGCCTCTGGTGAAGGATCCGGAGGGGAAGAATCAACTGCAGGGGGCAATGAGTCAGCAGGGGTCGAGTCGACTGGAGGTACTGTGTTACGACGCTGATAAGTGAGAAGTGGACGGTTCTCAGGTACTGGAGCAATAGGTGATTGCTTATCTGGAGTAGAAGCACCTGCATCTGACAAAGACAAGTCAAGAAAAGGAACAGGAAGAACATAATCAACCTGTGACAATAGAGATGGGATAGAATTAAAGGGTTGTTGATCAAGAAATTTGACATCAGCGGAAACTAAGTAACGCTTGAGATCAAGAGAGTAACAGCGATAACCCTTTTGAAGACGAGAATAACCCAGAAAAATGCATTTAAAGGCTTTGGATGTTAACTTATCCTTACCAGGAGTGAGATCCTGAACAAAACAGGTACAACCAAAAACATGTGGGGATAGAGGAAAAAGAGGAACATCCGGAAACAATAAGTTATGAGGAATATCATTATTAAGCACAGATGAAGGCATGCGGTTGATGAGAAAGCAAGAAGCAAGGACTGCATCAGCCAAGAAGTGAAGAGGAACATGCATGTGAATAAGAAGAGTCCTGGCAATCTCAATGAGATGTCTATTCTTACGTTCAGCTACTCCATTTTGTTGTGGAGTGTGAGGACAAGTGGTTTGGTGTAAAGTACCCTGTGTGGCTAGGAAATGAGAAAAGTCAACAGAAACATATTCCTTAGCATTATCACTACGTAAAATACAAATAGAAGCACCAAATTGAGTATGAATTTCAGCAGAAAACCTTTGATAAATAGAAAACAACTCAGAACGGTTTTTCATTAAATAAATCCAAATACAACGGGAGAAATCATCAATAAAGGTAACAAAATACCGAAACCCTAAAACAGACACACTTCGACTAGGACCCCAAACATCTGAATGAATAATTGAAAAAGGAGCATCAGCTCGCTTATTGACACGATTAGCAAAGGAGGAGCGGATGTGCTTTCCTTGCTGACATGACTGACAATCTAAAGTTTGAAGACCGGATAAAAGAGGAACCATCTTCTGCAATTTCGCAAGACTAGGATGCCCAAGACGACTGTGGATGAGTTGTGGAGATTCTGTGAGAGAACAAGCAACTGAAGGACTCGGCACATCAAGGTAGAACAGACCCCGTGACTCACGGCCCACTCCAATCATTTTCCCCGTACCCGGGTCCTGCACAAAAACAGATTGGTTTGAGAATGTGACAATACAATTAAGAGAATTGATCAATTTACTAACAGATATTAAGTTATAAGGGATGTGAGGAATGTAATAGACAGATGTCAAGGTCAATGAGGAGGTTGGACAGATTTGTCCAATCCCATGAACGGGGGCCTTAGTTCCATCAGCAAGAGTAAAAGAGGGTAAATTTTCAGAATATGTAAGGGAAGAAAAGAGTTCCTTATTACCACAGAGGTGATCAGTAGCACCTGAGTCAAATATCCAAGGACCAAGTGATGCAGAATGAGAAACACAAGCAACAGGATTACCAGTTTCTGAAGCGGAGGCCTGAGATTGAGGAGAGGACTTCCTGAGAAGGGCCTGGAATGCTACATATTCTTCAGAGGAGAGAGAGACTGTACCATTTGAAGCAGTATCCGATTGAGCTATATTAGCAGCAAAAGAAGGTCGCATGTGAGGATACTTTGTGTAGCAGCGTTCCTCATAATGACCAAGTTGCTGACAGTAATGACAACGAGGTCGCTGACCACGTCCGACTGGACTTCCTGGGCCTCCTGGGCCTCTACCACGGCCTTCTGGGCCTCTACCACGACCACGTCCACCTCCAATATTCCCGCGAAAATCAGTACGGGAAACTAGAGCAGTAGAATCAACAGCAGAAGACGATGCAGGAGCAGATTTCTTATTCAAATTCAGAAGACGCTGATACGTCATGGATAGATCAGGCTCCCCACTAGTCAAGATAGTATCACGGACATTATCATATTCTTCGGGAAGGCCAGAAAGTGTGGCAACCATAAAGAGACGTTCCACCTGTTTCCGATATGCAGTAGCATCAGTAGGGTAAGGCAGCATATCCAAATATGCCTGCATCAAAGAGCGACTCTTGCCAATATATGTCTCCATCTGAATGTCGGATGATTTGCTCAATTCCATAAACTGGGAGATGATGAAATAGAGTTGCTGAACATCATTAGTGTAGAGGTTTTTTGCTTCCTCCCATACTTCAGTGCAAGTTTGAAAGGAATAAAAGATATCCAAGACGATCGGATCAATGGATTGCCAGAGGATACTCAGAAGCTGGTTGTCAATCTTTTCCCAATCAGACTTGTCCTCCTTAGGGACATCAGTAGACTTAGTTGTGAGATGGTTCCCATATCCTTGTCCAAAGAACCAAACTCGAACAGAGGTGGCCCAGTTCTTGTAATTAACAGATCCCTTCAATTTTGAAGAGGTAATGGACCCAATATTGGTAGAGATGATATTGGGAGAATTTCTCACAGGAGGAGATGGAGACTTGACCTCCGAATGAATTGGAGGGTTTGCTGCCAAAGTATTAAATCACAAAGATACAAACCGAATAAAGAGAAACGAACCTGATCACCAATCAAGAAGAGGTGCGCACAAAAAGTCAGACCCACAAAGAACCAACCACAGATCCAGAAAGAGGAGGAGAAGACGAGCTTCTCTGTCCAAGACCGGCCGGAAAAAGCCGCCGGAATAGTGCTCACGCGCCGGCAGAAGGTGGCGCGTGAAGCCCACGCGCGCAGAGAAGACTGGAGGCGCGTGAGAGCGCGTGACAACTCCGATGGTGGCCGGACTTCCACAGAGCAGGTCGCCGGGAGGAGAGGGTTCTGTTCGCGTTCGTTCCAGACTGAAAACTCGCCGGAAAATTACTCCGGCAGCCTGAACAGTGGCTGACGGTGGCTAATGGTGGCTCCGGTGACTGTTTGGGGATGTGGACACGTGCAGAAGATGCCTGGAGAGGACTTACAGTCCTTGATGTCTTGCCGGAAGGACGCACGGCAAAGAAAAGATGACTCCTAAGCAGTGGGCTTAGGTTTTAAAGCGAAGAACAAGATTTCTAAGCGGAAGCGAGGGTTCCCAGAACGAAATAGCTCTGGTACCAAGTTAAATGTAAAAGAATACGTTGTGTATTGATCTGTGTCAGGAAGTTACAATATATAGAGACCCTAATGGGCTTAAGTGTAAGGTCCAAACCTAATCCTAATACAGTCAGACTATTTACGGATAAGACAAAATCCAATCATATCTAATCATATCTAATCATATCATATCTAATATTCTAACAGTATCTAAAAAGCATAGTGACCTTAAGACCTTTCCCCTAATATTTGGCCGGTTAAAGCAGAGTGAAAAATATTCAAAGGAACACTGCCAGATATATCAAAAGTACTACAGTGGATGATCACTTGTATATCAAAATCTACCCCCGCCCAAGTAAAACCTGATACGTCGCCAGCACTATCATCATCCAAGATATTTTTCACTACATTTTCTCTACCAGTAACAAAAGTAATAATGCTTAATATTTTTTGCCAGCATGATGAAAAGTAAAAGCAAACTTGTGCTCACATCCATACCAAGTTAAGCATCCTCTCAGACAGCCTAACTATACATGATATTCAGCTCCATAAATAATATCCAATACACAATATCTCACACACATTATATGTTGCAGATATTATAGAAGTGTGCTCCAAAGTGCTAAGTTTCATGCTATATCTCACTTCACTTCCTAATTAGACACTTAAGCTTATTAAAAGAGAGAAGATGTAGTATGTTGTATGCAGAAGTAACATGTAATTGCTTTTTGTTAACATGTAGATAAATGTGGTAGCAAAGAATGACAGCCTTACCAAACTCCTTTGGCACAGGTGGTAAGGAGCCTGGGTCCCTTAACCAAAAGTCTCGAGTTCGAGCCCTGGGAATGGAAAAAAAGGATTTGGGAGAGTCGCTCCCGAAAGGGTCCAACAGTGCTCGATTGGGGATTAGTCTTCGGTTACGGCCGGAGGATACCCTTCAGATTACTGAAAAAAAAAAAAAAAAAAAAATGACAGCCTTCCCAATGAGAGTTAGCTCATAGGGTAAAATCAACTTTTATTGTTGAAAAATTTCAGAGGAGGGGACGTAGCCCTATTTCAAATTCAGGACAAACCAAAAGTCTCAGCCATGTATTATAGCAGAAATCCAAACCAAGACCTTTTTTATGTAGACTTTGTTCAATTCTGCCAGGTGAGCATACCCTCAACCAGTAGAACCAATCTGAGAGTTTACAAGGCTAGTCAAACTACGAAGATCACACAGCTTGCTCTAAATTGATTACAAAATGACCTTAACTCAGTGTCCTGGTCCTGGCCCAGGAATTCTATGAGCATGTTACAAATAGAGAAAATTCAGTTATTGAGAGGTTTTAAGTAGCCAGTTAACTCCAATTCATCACTTCTAAGTTCCCTGCTTATAGTAAATACAACATAAGCATTTAAGCATCAAATAAATTTTATTTATCTTTTTAAAAAAAGACCTTTAAAGTTCAAGGGGTTTTTTCTCTTCTTCTTCTATGTACCTCAATGCAACATTACATCAACCTCAATTCCTTCCTTCCATGAGAAACCAGTTTCATGCACCAGTACACTGCCTCATACTGAAATTTTCTTCCTGATTTACATTAAAAGTTTCAATTTTTTGCATCCAAACAAGGAACACAGAGCAGAGTCAATCAACAAGCCTTCAATTTCAATCTCCTAAATAATTTCGACTAACGGGACATTGATGAATGGAAAAACGATGGAACCCTAATTGATGCTAAGAAGAAAAAAAAAGGTAAATGGAACTTACCAGAAACAAACGAAGAATAGCAGCGAACAAAGCGAGAGAGTAAAGGAATAAAGTTATCCTTAAACGAGAGAGAGAATGGTTTTGTTTGGCTATTCTTGTTCAGATACACATTGCTCATTTCATTTGTGCTTAGCTTTATTTTATTTATTTATTTTGGTTTCCAAAAAAAAAAGCTTTAGTTTATTTTTTATTTTTTGAATGGTTAATCAATCATGCATTATTAATATTCTATTTGAAATTATTGAATTGATTTGATTTATTATGAACATGAAATCTGCTTAAATCAAATTGGATTCAGGTTAGGGTTGGCAAAACGGGCTAACTCGGCTCGACCCGGCCCGACCCGCATGCAACTCAAAAGAAATGAGTCGGGTTAGGGTTGGCTCTGAAAAAAAAAAAACGAGCCAGAAAATCCAACCCAACCCGATCCAAGTCGGGTTAGGGTTGGCTCGCGGGTTGGCTCAAAAATATGGCTCGTGGGTTGGCTTGAAAAAATAGCTCGTGAGTTGGCTCAAAAATTGGTTCACGGGTTGGCTCGAAAATTGCTCGCGGGTTGGCTGGTTTTAAACCTATTTAAATGAACCTGTAGTATTGATGCACTATGTAAGAAACCGCACCGTTAATTAAGGAAGTTAATTAATTAATTAAAAGAAATTAGGAAATAATTCTATAATTGACCCTAATAATTATTATGAGGATTTAATAATTATAGTAAGTGAGTAATAATGCTGAAAGTCGCTTTTCTGACGAAAAGTGCAGATACCGGTTCTGTTACTCGGTATAAATGCGTACCGATGAAGTATTCCGGAAAATTATAATAAGTGCATGAATATTCCTAGAATATTATATAGGACTAGTAAAACAAGTTTCAAGTCAAAATAATGAGAACTGGTGCCAGAACTGATACTGGCTATGGAAAAGCGCGTACCGAGAAGGTGCTGCGAAAAATAAAATAAAAATATGATAAATCCTAGAAAAATGAGTAGGTTCAGAATCCTAAGTTTGGGATTTAAATTCTAAGCGTAGCTATTAGTGCTATTACTGTGTGATTAAACTTAAGTGGGCTATATATAGCCACTTGCACAATAACCTAGGTCAGATTTTGATGTGCCTACGTAGAGATTTCTGATACATTTGGCTGCCACCCTCTCCTTCACCCTCCCTTAGCCTTCTCCTCCATAGAAAACCTTCAAGAAAGTACCTTTACTCTTGATTTCTTCATAAAGGCTTCATATTTTAGTGTGCTAAAGCCTTGAGAGGTTTGGAAGTATTCGAATACTTCCTGGAAAAATGCAGTAATCGAATACTTCGCGAGACAACAGCGACCCAGTTTAGTAAAATTGCGATATCTTGAGCTACAGAGCTCTAAATTGAGTGAGGTTTGGACCTATGTGAAGCTAACACATAGGGATACAACCCTGTAAATTTTCAGATCCATTGAATATGTGTATTTCTCTCAGTTTATGTTTGAAGTCTCGACCCTATTGCTGGAAATTCAGTTGTTGTAGGAACTTTGCAAAAATCATAACCGGAGTTATACAACTCCGATTGAGACATAAAATATGTCGTTGGAAATCTTGAGATGTCTAGTTTAACATATTAAAATCTTAGAGTATTTGGTAAAGATTTGCAAATGTAGTTTTAAACTGGTAGTTGAATACTCCTTGCAGGAGTATTGGAATACTTTTCTGGGAAGAAAAGTATTCGGCTACCTTTGAAGAAGTATTTGAATACTGAAAAGTATTCGAATACAGTAAGGTTTGGTATTCGGATACTGTGGTATTCGGATACTGGGGGAAAAATTATTCGGATACTTGTTAGTATTCGAATACTTAAATGAAAGTAATCGAATACTTTCTGGAGAGCTGGAGCATTCGAATACCTCCTGCAAAAATAACATGAAATGAGTTAAAATGAGTAATAAAGCCTTAATCACCTAGTGTAATCTTGAGTAATGATTATTGATGATTAATTATTGCTTAAACAGATTGTGATTGTGCTGTTTGTGGGCCTTGAGCTTGTGTGGACTCTTGGTTTGGATAGCTAGCTTACAAGGTAAGCTTTCGTGTCCTCGGTTTTGCCATTGTTGGTTCCACCATACCCCATGGGGAATGGTTTATATGCATGATGTGTTTTCATGCTTTGATGATTGGAATGCTTTTGAACTGTTATATGTAAGGGCCTTATAATATGCATGTGTTGTTCCACTTTGACAGTAAGCCTGAGTATGTAGCGTCATACAAGATGGTGAGACTGGGGTGGATGCAAGTAGATTATATTGCACTATTTGTAGGAGATAGATATATATCCTGCATTTCTCTGGCCAGTAGATTATATTGACACGCATGACATGGTTATCTGTGCATTACACTGACTTTGGAACTTATATATATTGTGTAAACTGCTTTAGAACTTATATTGCACATGTAAGTGAGCTTGGGGTGGAAGATCCTCGAGGACCCCTTGTCTTACTGAGATTTATTTTTAGAGATCTCACCCCACGTTTGGGGCACCATTTCAGGTTCAGGTAATGCGGGGGTTGAGACCTCAAGCGGCAGGAGGCCGGAGCTTAGTTGAATTATATGTTGTTATGCTGATTATATTGGATGCTAGATTATATCTGCTGCTATTTTGTTGATTAGCTATGATTATGTTGTTGCTGTTGAGACTTTGTTGGCTTTGTTGCCTTATTTGGTGAGCATGGGGATTGTCCATGCCGCAGTGATTTGACTATGTCTTGTTTTAGATTCGAGTTGTAATAATGTATCAGGATTATGTCCGAACTACGTGTTGTAGTTCTGTGATTTTAGATACTCACTGTTATTAATATATTGAGGTATTTCAGTTAGATGTCTTCTGCAATTTACATACAAGCGATGTTTTTATGAAAATGATTAAGTAATCAACTTGGCTAAGTATAATGACGTCATAATTGAATGTCGAAAAAGACATTCCGCATTTTTATTAAGTGTGGCTTAATACAATGACATGTTAACAAACCGGATATATATGGGGTGTTACACACTAGCTATGTGGCTTCAATCAGCTTAAACAAAGGGTTACAACATGAGAAATAAAAGCATAATATTCTAATTTCGAATTTTCTTCACAACAAATTTACACCAACATCAAGAAACAATCAGAACCACTTGCTACCAAGTGAGTAAGATATTTGAACCAAACAGAGCCATCACAGCCTAATAATAGAAAAATAGCAGGGATGTGAGAAGATTAGGGACTTAGATTTAGAGAAGGAAGAAAGATAATGACAGCATGTGTGGGTTTTGTCCATTTTTGTGTATTATATTTTTTTTATAAAAAAAAAAACAACTCAACCCGCGAGCTGACCCATTTGACCCTCGAGTTGGCTGGTTTTTTCCTAAGCTGACTTGAGTCGGGTTGGCAGCTCATTTTTTCCAACCCAACCCGACTCATTTTTGGCGGGTTACGAGCCAATCTGACGAGTTGGCTTGTTTTTGCCAACCCTAATTCAGGTAGACTTGTATATATAAATGTAGAATCTCAAAATTTAAAATTAATTTAATCTATAAATAAATTTTTTTATAAACCATAAAGTTATAAAATATAATTAGATTTAAATTTAAGAGTTTTTAATTTCAGTTATATACTGATCCAGATCTATCTCATGCGGGATTACAGGCCTAACCAATAAAGGACTTAGAAGGCCCAAAAACTTACTTAAGGGGAAATGAAACGCGGCTATCCTACGTATCTTGATGATCCTGTAACCTCATGACACACGACATGAGTTGCTTACTCAATTGCGACTACATGAAATTTGTTTAGAATGCTACAGCCCCTCTTATAACCAATAGCTAGAGGACAGATGCGTGCTTACAACTACATCTACAGGGTATAGCCTGATATTAGGCATCCAACATGCAAGATAGCTCGGAATAACCACTCATGCCCACCAATAAGAATGAACATCGCCATGCTGAGGCGACATAATTAGGATGCTTATCTACTATACATACAAAAGCATGAAATCAGGTATGATCATCTTGTCATTCATACTTGACCATATCAAATACTCACTAACTTGAGCATCAGAATGCCTTGCAGGTACCTCCTAGTCTTCTTAAATCGCTCCAAGCACCTATCGGGTTTATGCTCTTTTATTTAAAGCTTAATTGAGCTCAGTGTTTCTTGGTATCCATGTATATATCCTCACTTTAGTCATCAGCTTCCAAGCTGTTGTTGATGAGGTAAGAATAGATCTGAAAGTTAGAATGCCCACACACTTCCCTTTTTCCCCTTGAGGATAGTCTAGAAGATTTGCCAAAATCCATCTTCAACAAGGAGGCTTGTTCATGTTGTGACGGAGGAAGTCAAATTGTGAAGGAGGCTTGTTCATGTTGTGACGCGGAAGAGGCCAGATTGAGAAAGAGGAGAAACTATCGCGGCAGAGGCGAGAAGGACCATTAGACCGATACAAAAGAGGTTTCTCGCAGATCTACACTTCGAAAGGTATGACCTTTTGTGGTTGCGAAGCAATGATGATTCGTAGGCATACAAATATATTAGGTCCTAAATCCCTTCCGTTGATCCAACTTTTCCAACAATTGGTATCAGAGCAAGTTGTACATTTGTATATGAATCTAGTCTCATTATTCATGTAATTAGTTTGCTTCATGAAATATGACACCTAGGATTCTATATTTGTTGATCATATGATTTGTATGTTGATCCTTTATAATTCTTTTCATAAAAATCGATGCTTTTATTTTGGTTTTTGACTTTAAACATGGTAGAAATTTTTGTGTATTCTTTTGCAATTGTAACAAGGCAACTAATCCTTTGTGATTAGGTTTCATCCTTGATTTTCATTTCAATCTTTGTATATTTTTCAATATTTTGTAAAATTGTAATGAAAAAAAGCCAAAAGTAGGACATCCA